GCTCCGAGAAAGCCCACAGTAAACACTAGCTTTCAATGTGCTTCAGTACTGATGTTGAATCTTGAGATCATAACAAAGAGTGTGAGAATCCTGGTTAGTTTACTAATTCTTTTAAGTTTAGGTTTTCTTCAGTTCTGTTACCCCAACACCCATTAACATGCAGACACGCACATACCTACACATACACACACAACTATATCCCACACACCCCAGTTTAAAATGAGTGAAAATGATTTGTTATATAACTATTTTGATCTTAATGTTTATGCTTTTGAAGTCTGTTTTAGGGAAGACTGTATTTTAATAAGGTTCTGCATCCTTACCTTAACCTCCTTCCAGGCCTTTTTAATTGTATGAGACATGGTGGAGAGGATACAAGGTCCATCCTGGCTTTATTAATTCTATGATATGTGGTAGATTAGCCTTCTGCTGAATTTGAGATTGTAGAGTATGTTATGATTTAAGGAAATAATTCAAATCATTCATTCTTATTATGGAGAGCAAGTGTTGGTTGCTCAGTCCTGTCTGACTCTGCGACACCATGGATTGTAGCCCCCAGACTCCTCTGTCCAGGCAAGACTACTAGAGTGAGTTGCCATGCCCTCCTCCAGGGGATCTTCCCGACCCAGGGATCAAACCCAGGTCTCCCACATTGCAGGCAGATTCTTTACCATCTGAACCTTCAGGGAAGTCCAATTATGGAGAGATAGGCAAACCATAGATCTTTTTTTTTTTTTTTTTGCCTGATTGGATTTTCTTATGGATTTTCTTAATCTTTTTTAAAAATGAGGTGAAATTGATATGGCAAGTGATGAAGTATAATAAAGAATACAAATTAGGGACATTTAGTGCATTCCTAATGTGATCAGCCACCACTTCTCTCTAGTTTCAAACTTTTTCATCACCCAGAAGAACATCCCACAGACACTGGGTAATCACTCCTCATTCCCTCCTTCCTTTATGCCCTGTTTTACGCCTCTGTAGACTTGCCTATTTTGGTTATACCATATAAAAGGGATCATATGTGACTTGTTCTGTTTAGCTTCTTTTATTTAACATAATGTTTTCAAGGTCCATCTAAGTTGTATCATGTGTCAGAACTTTGTTTCTGTTTATTATTGAACAAAATCCCATTGTATTCATATATCACAGTCTATTTTTCCATTCATCCATTGATGGGCATTTGAGATGCCTATATGAATATTTATAATACAAGTTTCTGTGTGGATATATGCTTTAATTTCTTGTAGGTAAATACCTAGGAGTGGAATTGCTGGGTCATATAGTAAGTCTACGTTCAGCTTTTGGAGGAACTGCCAAAATGTTTACCATGGTGACTGCATTATTGTACATTCCCTCCAGCAATGTACAAAGGTACTTATCCCTTCATATCCTTGCCAATACTTACTTTCCATTTTTGTTGTTGTTTTTATTAAAGCTATACTAGGGGGTATGAAGTGATATCTCACTATGGTTTTGATTTTCACTTTCTAATGACCAGTGATACTGAATATCGTCTCATGTGCTTATTGACCATCTGTACATCTTTTTGGAGAAATGTCTGTTCATGCTCTTTGCCCATTTTAAAGACCGGGTTGTTTGTCTCTTTGGTTGAGGTCTGAACAGTTCTTGATATACTCTGGACGTTAAACCCTTACCAGCTATGCAATTTTCAAATATTTTCTTCCATCCTATAGGTTACTTTTTCAGTTTTGTCAATGTTTTTAATCAGATATTTTAACTTTTTATGACATCCAACTGATCTATTTTTTGTTGCTCATGCTTTTTGTGTCAAATCCAAGAATTCACTGCCAAATTCATACAATCTTCAAATTCATATGGAACTGCAAGGGACCCAAATAGTCAAAACATTATTTAAAGAAGAAAAAGGTATAGTATTCCTACTTCCTGATTTCAAGACTTATCACAAAGCTACAGTAATCAAAACAGTGTGGTACTTGCATAAGTACCAATGGAATAAAACTGAGATCCCAGAAATTAAACCCAAACATCATGGCCAATTGATTTTTTGATAAGGATACCAAGACCATTCAATAAAGAAAAGAATATTCTCTTCAACAAATCGTGTTGGGACAACTGGATATCCAAGGGCAAAAGAAGGAAGTTGCATCCCTACCTCACTCTATGTACAAAAATTAACTCAAAATGGATAAACAACCTAAATTTAAGAACTAAAACAATAAAATTAGTAGAAGAAAACAGGAGTAAATATTTGCCATAGACAATTTAAATCCACAGATAATTCTCCACTCTAGTTAAAGGTGAATATCTTTCCCACGATAACTTTGCCCAAAGACTATGGGAATGGTAGCAGAGCTGACTGACTTGAGTTTTTATCTCCATCACTCCTCTGTCCATTAAGATAGATACTTCAGGAGAAATGTCACTGAAAGTAATCAGAAAGAAGGCAAAAACAAGCAAACAAAAACAACAATCATAACAAAAATAAGTGCCTAGGCTAATCCTAACAAAAAGTACAATTGGCTACGAGTTATAAAAATAAAACCCAAATACACAAGTTAAACTAAACACACCCTTTGGTTTCTAAATTCTTTGCCAGGAATAAGGATAATAGTGATTAACGGCACAGACCCCAAATCCAGAGGGCCTGGATTACAATCCTAGCCTTACTTAGCTGCTTATTATTTTACTTAATCTCTCCATGCCTCAGCTTGCTTACCTTTAAAATAGGCACTAATATTAGTGCCTAATTCATGGGATTGTTGCCTAGCACATAGTAACTACTTCAGTGTGTGCTATTATTTCTAGGACTGACAGAGGATGGATCAGGCAAAAGAGGTATTTCTATGCTTCCATGATTATGTATACAGTTGCTTAAAAAAGCAGCTTATATTGTGGCCATTAGCATATGCCTTGCAGACCTTCAACTTTGGCATAACTGAGGAAGGGCTCCAGCTGCTGTGCTCTGAAATCCAACACCGTGTTTGCAAAAGGTCTCACTTCCCATCAGCTGCTCCTAGCCAGTAACTAAGTGCCTGTAGAAATGCTAAGGGAGGTCATTCTTGGGAGGCAAAGGACTCCTCTTATGGTCAACTTTGGCTCAAGTCCTCTTTGACAACCTTGTTGAAATTTCCTTACTCTGAAGGACAAGTTAGACTTCCTATTCTGCTTTGTCTTCACTCTGGGTCAGTTCTGCATCATGGTCTGATGGCTCTCGCAGCCTTTCCTGTTTCCTTCCCTTTAAATCTCACCTTAGTGTCAGATTCTTAGAGGACTTGGACTAACACAGTCTGGCATTCAAGCTCTCTTGGCTCTGAACTTAACCTATATGCTGCCTTATCTCCTACCTCTTGTGGTTGTTCTTGTGGTCTGACTCTTTACAACCCCATGGGCTGCAGCACACCAGGCTCCTCTGTCCTCCACTATCTCCCAGAATTTGCTCAAATTCATGTTTATTGAGTCGGTGATGCTTTCTAACTATCTCATCCTCTGTCTCCCCCTTCTCCTTTCACCTTCAATCCTTCCCAGCATCAGGGGGTCTTTTCCAGCGAGTCAGCTCTTCACATCAAGTGGCCAAAGTATTGGAACCTAGCAACAGTCCTTGTAATGAATATTCAGGGTTGATTTCCTTTAGGATTGACTGGTTTGATCTCCTACTTCTTAGCTGCTTGTATCTTTCACTCTTGGTTTCCAAATGTGCCTTGTGCTTCTGCATTTCTGAGCCTTTGCCCATGCCCCTTCACCAAGAACGCACTCACCATCTGGCCATTTTTGCCTTTTGGATGACACTTGTCACCAGTCATGCATCTCAAATGTCATCTTCTCTAAGCCTTTAAGATCTTTACCTTTTCTAAACCTCAAGGACTCTTGCTTTTGAGCTTTTTATTAAGCTTCTTAACAGCAATAATTATTTCTTACTTTGAGCCCTCCAAAGACCCCAGGTGTATCAAACAGGTAGTCACAAATACGTGCAGGATAGAATTGGAAAATTAGGGGCAATTCTATTCTAGTGAATTTAACTTTTAACATTTAGGATTTCCAACAGCTTACATCCATTTTGATTGATAAAGCAACAATGAACTCAGATGAATTAAAAAAAAATCCCAATGTTCAAAGCACTTAGAGCAAAACGTGGCCTGCAGTAACTCAGTTTTAATATCTGCTTGAAATTCTTCATCAGATTTGGCTGATTTCCACCCCTTAAAGAGTGATGATGTAAAATTCTAAAATCATTTTGGTTTTGTTTATGTATACGAATGGGGACTAAGAGACAAAGAAAAGTAGCTATAAAAAAGGGCTTCCTCCTCTAGCAAAGGGCCCTAGGCTTCAGGACTGGGATGGCCAACATCTCTCTCCTTCAGCCCCTCCAGAAGTAGAGAAAGGAGATTCTGACATTTTTACAAGCTTTCATGGAGTGAGGTACATACACAGTAATATGAAAGGGCATTGATGAGCTTAATATGTATAGAATCTTAGTCCCTCACATATTAGGGTCATTATTATAGTTGACACATATCAAGTGCTTTTTATTTATGTTTAATCCTTACAGAAGACACCCTGATAAAGGACAGGAAATCGAGGCTCTGTAAACAAGTCATGCTAGTAGGTCACTGACCCAAATCCCTAAGAAGTTTATGTAGGCAACCAAAAGATGTATTGATGACATAAAATACATTTCCCTCTCCCCAACCTCACTGCAGGGCTTCTAGGGCAATGTTCTCGGGCAATTCAGCCCAAGGAAGCTGACACTGGATCTGGCACCCAGCCAGAGTGCAGCAGGAGTGCCAGTTCAACAGCTTCAAAGGTTGTAACTCTTTAACCTGCAGACCTAACCTCTCACCATTTCCGGTGAGGTCTGCAACACTCAGTAAGAACTCTTCAGGTGGAAAACAGGAAGAGGGTGGCTCTTACAAGTATCAGATAGCACCTGCGTGGACGCTCATGTATTAATGATTTAACCAGGGCGATCACATGAGGGAACAGCCGTTTTCCCCTGCCCTCATGCTTGTCACTAACAGGCCTGAAAGTGAACAAGATGGACGGGTCCACCAAAGAGGAAGAGGAAGAGGAGGATCGTGCCTTCACCAACATTTCTCTTGCAGATGACACAGGTAAGGAAGAGACTGATGACTTCCGAAACATAAAATTCAGCAAGTGCTCAGCAGCTTTGTAAAACAATAATTGTTATTGTTTTTATTATGATGGTAAAACACAGTCATTGTAGAAAACTTGAAAAAAAAAGCTACAAAAATAAAACAAAAAAATGTTTAAGAGCCACTTTTCTTTTTCCTTTAAAATTCAGTAATTTAGCTCCTGTGGTTGAATTACATGTACTTTAAAAATCAATCAACAAATAAAAATATAAAATGTTTATTTCCTGGAGACTCAGGAAACATGATCTTAAAGTTGTTACTAAAGCAACCTATGATATTATTACCCGAATTTGTTCAATTATAGTCCATTTCTTCTCTGTTATGTGAAGTTTCATCATTTCTGGTAAATGAACTAGAATACTCTGCAATTCACTTTAAAATTTGTCACAGAACATGTCTGGTTTTTAAGCAAGGACAAAGTTTGCTGAATTCCACATGAAAGAAGGAAAAAGAAGGGAGTGGTGTTTCTAACATGCTGATGGAAGGGATAACTACAGTTCGTTCAACATCAGGGAGAAAACAGACACTGTCTGACTTGGGAGTGCATGCTCAGTCGCTCAGGCGAGTCTGACTCTTTGTGACCCCATGAACTGTAACCGGCCAGGCTCCTCTGTCCATGGAATTTTACAGGCAAGAAATACTGGAGTGGGTTGCTATTTCCTCCTCCAGGGGTCTTCCACACTCAGGGGTTGAACCCGCATCTCCTGCACCTTGCACAATGTTAACTGGAAAGACTTCACACCTATAAGCACCCAAGTATTGTGTGTGTGCGTGTGTGTTAGTGGCACTGTTTTATATCCAAGTTCCCTCAGCAAAATCATAGTTATTAATAGAAGCCAGCAAGACTCAGCTAAGCAATGGGGGTTACTGATTTTGATTAACCGAGAGCAAAGCATGAATATTTAACATCAATTGCTCTTTCATACAGCCACGCTTCTCCACTTTCTCCCTAAATGCTCAGATTCAAAAAGCCTCTTTCTAAAGTGCTGCCAGACAATTAGCACGAACTGCCAGCCAGCTTCCCCTCCTGGCACCGCATAAACATGCTGAGGGCTTTGAAAAATCAAAAAGGAGCATTTTCAGTCTTTACGACGGGAGGAAAGGTACAACAAGGTCTGGGGTTTGTTGAAGAAAAGGGATACCGCTGGCCTTCACATGCTCCCATCAGGGTGTTTTAGAAAAATGACAGGGCTGGAGAAGGCAGTGAAGGGAACAAAGACCAGGGAAACTTGCCCCTTAGCTTCTAGAAGGCACGATGAGTGCTGGGCATGCGCTTGGGGAGTCCTATATGCCATGGGGTGGTTGCAGTTCCTACAGACTGCTGGCTTTCTCCGAATTTGCCCCCCATCCTGGGGCAGGATTCTTTCTCCCTTGTAACGTGGGCTGGGCCTGAAAGTGATGGTCGGCAAGGCGGAGAAGGAGTCTTTGTGAAACCGAGGTCTTTCATCCAGCCCAGGGCAGGGCCTCAACTCTGCCGTCTGCGTCTCACCATCTGCTACCCTCACACTTTCCGGCCGGACGAAAAGAGATGAGGGCGGGGATCTGAATTCAGGTGTCCAATCCACGGCTGCCAATGGAGGGGGTCTCCATCGAAGTTTTGCTTGCTAACCGAGTCTAAGGCCAGGGGCATAGACTCAGAATAAACTGAGGGATGGGGACGGAGCAAGCAGGATACCCCTGTTAGTGTGAGAGGCGGCAGCAGAAGGAGGGCTTTGAGGGACCTGGATCTGACTTAAAGCCTCGTCATTCCTGGTTGGAGGAGTCACAGAATCTCAGGACATCAGGGGCCTTCAGGGGTGGTCCAGCGTGGGAACCAGTGGTGGGCTGAGGCACTAGCTCTAATTCTGCTGTTTCAGCATTCCAAGATGGAAAATGGAAGTCGTTCCTGTACTTGTAGCAGGAAAGAACTGAAACCCCATGTTCCCTGGCTTTTGGAGATAAATGTATCAATTTGATTAGGGGATACTGGTTTGCTGTTGTTAATAAGAGGTTCTTGGTCCTTGATAAATAAAAACAGGAAGACAAATTATTATGAAACAAATGCAGCTTGTTCACAAATTCACATTAGACTGAACTGCATTTCTTTCAATAACATCTCTTTCCATGCTGGGTTTCCTGCCAATGGTGTGATAAAAAGCAAGTTCTGTGTAAAAATTGATGTAGAACAGGTAATAAGGGTGTCAGTTTGAGCTGGCTGTAGAAGTTGTGAAGTGCCCAGAAGGCCCACACATCCCGTTAGGTAAGTGTGTTACTGAGGAATGAAATTTTTTTCAGCCTAGGTGCAGTATTTTTTTTTTTTTCTCAAATGATTACTAAGTTTTAAGGACACAAACACTTATTAAGGTGTTTGGATGTGAATACTTAATTTGTGGAACTGTTTGGTGTCTCTCTTGGCCTTGGAGCACTGAAAAAATTACTTAAAATGAAGGGCACTGTGAACCAAGGTAGTTTGGGAATCTCTGGTCTAAGTGGTACTAAGTCTTTCCCCAAGATTCTGCTCTTGGCCTGCTTTTCCTTTCTCTCTTGTTCCATTCTTACTGTCCATGCTATATACCAGTGACCCTAAAACAGAGCTTGTAAAATAAACCCCTCTAGGGCCAAGCAGTGTATCTGTAGGAAAGAGGCAATGGCCTCTCATCGTTTATTTCATTCAGTTTCCTAAACTATTGAAGAAATGTCAACTCTTATTTCAGTGTATTAGGTTTTTCCATTATGTATCTTTTTGTTTTTAAACTTTTTACTTTGAATGTGGTAAGAAGATATAACATGAGAGTTCCTTCCTTTAACAGGTGTTTTAAATACTATTTTAAGCAATTACTTATTTACTTTTGGCTGCGCTGGGTCTTCTTTGTTGTGCATGGGCTTTCTCTAGCTGCAGTGAGCAGGGGCTGCTCACTAGTCATAGGCTTCTCGTTGCAGAGCACAGGCTTTAGGTGCCTGGGCTTCCGTAGTTGCGGCTCTCGGGCTTAGTCGCCCTGCAGCATGTGGGATCATTCCCAGACTAGGGATTGAACCTGCGTCCCCTACACTGGCAGGTGGATTCTTAACCACTGGACCACCAGAGGAGTCCTCCCTAACACATCTTTAACAGTACAGTACCATTAACCACAGACATAATGCCATTCATCAAATCTCTAGAATAGTCTTACATTCCTGAAATGTTATACCTGTTGACTAGCAGTTGCCTCTTTCCCCTTGCCCCAGCCCCTGCAGTCATCATTTCGCTTCCGTTTTTCGCTTCTGAGTCTATCTTAGATACCTCATATGAGTGGAATCATAGTGTTTGTCCTTCTGTGGCTGGCTTGTTTTACCGAGTATAATGTCCACAGGGTTGATCCAATTGTGACTTATTGCAGGACTTCATTCTTTTTTAAGGCTGAATAATGTTCCATTGTATACATATATCACCTTTTTGTTTATTCAGTCACCTGTTGATTTGATGTTTTGGTTGTTTCCACATCTAAGCTATTGTGATTAGGACAGCAGTGAATATGAGAGTGGTACTATCTCTTCAAGATCCTGATTTCAATTATTTTGAGTAAACATCTGGAAGTGGGATTATTCATCATATGGTAGTTCTCTTTTTATGTTTCTGAGGAATCTCAATACTGTTTTCCATAGTGGCTGCATCATTTTACATTCCCTTCAGTAGTATTAAGTGTTTCACTTTCTCCATATTCTTACCAACACGTGTAGTCTTTGAGGGCTTTTTATTTTGATTACCATCACAACAGCTGTGAGTAAGATCTTGTTATGATTTTGATTTGCATTTCACTGGTGATTAGTCATATTGAGCATCTTTTCACTTACCTGCTGGCCATGTTTATGTCTTCTCTAAGGAAACATCTATCGAAGTCCTTTGCCCATTTTTAACTGGGTTATCGACACTTTTGTAACTGAGGAGTTCCTTAGATATTTTAGTATAAATTAACCTTTTAAGTGGCCAGTTATACCATTTGCAAATATTTCATCCCATTCTGCAGGTTTCTTTTATATTCGAGTGATTGTTTCCTTTATTGTGAAGGAGTGTTTTCATTGATGTCATCTTCCTTGTCTATTTTTGCACTGTCACCTATGCTTTTGGTGTCATATCTGTGAAATTATTGCCAAGACCAATGTCACAAAGCTTTTCCTCTACAGTTTCTTTTAGGAGTTTTATAGCTTTTGGTCTTACATTTAAGTCTTTAATCCACTTTGAGTTGATTTTTGTGTATGGCGTTAAGATAAAGGTCTTCATTTTTCTGTATGTGTACAGTTTTCCTAACACTAGTTGTTAAAGAGACTATTCTTTCCCCATTGAATGTTCTTGGCACTCTGTTAAAGATTAGTTGGCCTACATGTATGGATGTGTTTCTGGACTCTGTATTCTATAGGGTGGTATGTATGTCTTTATGTCAGTACCATAGGTTTTTTTTTTTACTATTTTAATTTCTATGCTTTTGTAATATACATTTTATTACACTGAAATCAGGAAGTACGATACTTCTAGCTTTGTTCTTTTTTTCTCTCAAGATTTTTGAGGCTATCTGGGGTCTTTTGTGATTTCATATTAATTTTAGAGTTGTTTTTTTACTTCTGTAAAAAATGCCTTTGAGATTTTGATAAGAACTGCATTGAGCATGTAGATTGCTTTGGGTGGTATGGCCATTTTAACAATATTAAAGACTTATACCCTGAAAGTTACAAAACAGTGATGAAAGGAATTAAAGGAGATACAAACAAATGGGAAGTCATCACGCATCTTTTAAATACAGCAGACAGAAATATTAATATGGTTTATTTCACAGTGATTCTGAAGTTTAATTCTTTCAACAAGGATATGCATTGTTTGCACATCAAATATATGGGAACATTATTCATTTCTCAACACCTTTTTTCTTAAAACACAGTCCTCTTGGACTAGATTTCATTTTCTACTTTTAACTAGGATAAGAGAACAAGAAAAGTTTACTTTTCTC